ATGTTCGTGGACTGCGATTTCCTCTACCTGAACGACATCAAGGAATTAATCGATTTAATCGACGAGAAATACGCTGTGATGTGTGTGCAGCACGATTACACTCCTAAAGAGACTACAAAAATGGATGGAGCCGTTCAGACTGTGTACCCTAGGAAAAATTGGTCATCCATGGTTTTGTACAACTGTGGGCACCCGAAAAATCGTGTATTGACGCCTGAGGTTGTGAATAAGGAGAGTGGGGCATTTTTGCATAGGTTTCAATGGCTTGAGGATGGTGAGATTGGAGAAATTCCGTTTGTGTGGAATTTTCTAGTGGGCCACAATAAGGTTGTTGATGGGGATAAGAACACGTACCCGAGAGCCATACATTACACGCTGGGTGGGCCATGGTTCGAGCAGTGGACGGATTGTGAGTTTGGGGATTTGTGGTTGAGTGAGCTGAAGGAGTACAACAAGAGTGCAGAGAAGGTAATTGGTTGAAGCTGGATTAGGTCTATGGAAGGTAATTGGTTGAAGGAATTTGTTTCCTACATTTTTTAAATTGCTTATAAGATGCCTATAGTTGAAGTAGGCGGCATTAGCAGTACACGTTTTTTTATCGTGTGTAGATGTGAAGTATTCTTGTTGTTCCATTTATTTGGGTTTATTGTACTGAGTCGTGTTCTTGATGTGAGGTTGTGTAATAGGTTATGTCGAAATTTGCGGATTCTGGGTTTATATTAAGATGTTGCATGTTCTTTGAGTAAATGAGTTGACAGTGTTTGATTTCTAGGGATTTGTTTGCTACACTGCTATGGAGCATTTCTGGTGGTGTGTGAGTTGTTCTTTTATCTCTTCTATATGAACTTGGAGCTAATTACTAGTTTAATTTGCGACTTTTTGTTTATTTTCGTTTACTTATTTCGGGTTAATTACAGACCTTTCCATGAAATTTATCCTTATTATGAGAAGCTCTCAACATAGCTCATTGGGATGTGTTTATGTTCTACGAGTTGCAAACCTGTAAAATCATATTATAAGCAAAACTACAAGTCTACAAGGTGATAAGGTTTTGTATTGAAGCAGAACCCTCAATTGTAGTTTTCGTAAATATCCCTCCACTTTAATCCATTGCAGGTATTGGCTTTTCTTGTTGCTCAGATAATTTCTGTTGTAAAGCAGAATTCGTTTCATTTCCAGAAGAAGTCTTGGCAAAAAGAAAAGGAATGAATTTGTTATGCTATGTGGGTTTGACTAGGGATGTAAATGAAAATGGATGTCTGCGAACTAATTCGATCGAACTTCAAATGGATAAAAGATTGATCTAGTCGTGTGTTCAAGTAGGATCGAGAAAATAAACTAACCAAACACGAGCATTATCGTATTTGGTTTGCTAGTTCTAAAATTGTTCCACTAAAGACTGGTGATAAGCTTGATAAAAAGCTCGCATGATTTTTGTTTATATTTTAATCTTGTAATTTTATAAACTTCCGACGAGATAATAAAATAAACCAAAATGGAACCTCCAACATTCGAGACGGATCTTTTCGTTTACATCTCTTACTAATTCTTCTTACATTGCTTATTCTACATATTTCTGGTGAAACTTTCAGTAAAAGCGTGATTGAATTTTTCTTTCTCGCTAGTTTGCTACCATATATTTTGGAGAAATAAGGAAGAAGAAGAAGAAAAACCGCTAGTGACGTGCATTTTCATACACGATTTTAGGCATTGCTTTTCAATTTCCATTAGACACATTTGACTGAAAAGAAAAAAAATTATCTTGTAAAAATAAGAGGAAAATATATATTGAAGAATTCGGCAATATGTATTGCAGTAGAAGTAACTATACAAAATTCCCCTGTATTTCTATGAATATGAGCGTTACCTCCCTTATTGTTTGCAAAATGCATCTAGGGCCCCATATATTTGGGTTTGACATGCAAACATTCCTTGTNTCTTGAGGTGCATGTTATATCCTTGTGATTTCAACTATCGATCGCACACATAATTTGTAATCTGAATTACAAAGGCGAATCCTAAATTCTCTCAGCATTCTTTATAATTTTAAATCCAAAACAAAGGTACAAAATATATTTTACAATCTACAATATGAGTTAATGATGGCGATTCTTCAATGCAGGTGATTACAATATATTGAAGCCAAGTTGAAGAGTGATGTAGACCGGCCTAAACGGTTAGCTCGGATATGGCCGATCCAAAGAATAGCTCGGTAGATCGGCCTTAGTTAGATCGAGTACGGCTGTCTCTTTCTTCTCCAATCGGTAGACCGGCCTGAGCAGTTAGAACATTTACGGCCGATCCAAAAAAGTTTTAACTCGATTACTACAATTTAAAGATATACAGTATTAGTTTAACACCTGTTGATAACGATTTTGTATCAAAGTAAATTACACCCCTATTTCTGTGAATAATCGGTGTTGAAGCAAAGTGCTTTTTTTATTAATTTTGAGGAGATGAACCTCTCTTCTTTTCGCTTGACTTGATTTTTGTAGTTGAAGAAGATGAATGAATAGTGATTTTTTTGTTCTCCCCCACTTTCTCTCTCATGGCCCTCTATATATACATGCCTTTTTCTAACAAGTGGGCCTCCTAAAATATAGATAAAGAGGACAATATTATTTAATGCGAGATGACATCTTGGGGCCCGATCGTGACACTTGACGGCTCTGATTGACGTCTACTTTATCGACAATAATTGTGTCTGTCGGACTCGAGTCTTCTCGATATTAGGGTCGGACTGGTGATATTAATTCTGCTCGGCTCGAACGTGGACCATCTAGGCGCTTGAGAACTCGGTCGATATTAAATAATCAGCTCAGAGAACCTGCTATATTTATATTTATTTAATACGTATCCACGTGTAGCATTTTTATTAGTCGAGGCTAAGTTGAGTATCAACATTAGGCCCCCGACTTTAGGACATGTTCTGAACCGAACTGTTCTGAAGTCGCGTTTACTGTCAATTTTGCGAACGTTTGCTTATGATTTTTTTTTTAGCTTTTACGTTGTGATAAATATCCCAGAGGAGTTCCCTGGGTGCTTTGGGAACTTGGACGTTTTGTTGATCGTTTTCAGGCTTTGACCTGACGTTTGGCATGTCATTCGCGCTTTATGCTCTTTGATAAGCTTAGTCGGTGAAATGGACAATTTTTTGAAATTAATACAGAATGGAGCCTGAGAGGCCTAGGTGGGTAATTTGGTACCCATTGTTTGACATAATGCTCGTTGAAAGAGTCAAATTTCGGATAAGAGCCGTAACGGTTCTGTTGATCGATATGTAGGGCGCTCGGGTCTTTGCGAATGTTCTTCGTGATTTATGCGATGATTTTACAACGACTCTTTTTCTATGCATTTTTTATGGTTGGCTCTGTTTGACCTTTTTAGTTTTAGGGCATTCCGGCCGACCAAAACCACCATGGAGGCCTGATTAATTTTAATTTAATTTTTAATCAGTTTCTTAGTCCGACTTAAGACACTTGGGGCCATTTTCAGAATGTCAGTTTTTAGACCGACTTAAGGCATTTTGGGCCATTTTTCAGAACGTCAGTTTTTTAAACCGACTTAAGGCACTTTGGGCCTTTTTATAGAACGTCAGTTTTTAAACCGACTTAAAGCGCTTTGGGTCTTTTTACAGAACGTCAGTTTTTAAACCGACTTCAGGCACTTTGGGCCTTTTTACAGAACGTCAGTTTTTAAACCGACTTAAGGCACTTTGGGCCTTTTTACAGNTCAGGATTTGGTGTAATAGGCATTTATCGTACTAAATCAACTTAAGGATTTGGTGTAAGAATTGGGCATGTCATCTCAGCCGAAGTCGAAGAAGCTCTACGGCGAGGAAATATAGACATCGCTCAGCCAGAGTCGAAGCTCTACGGCGAGAAAATATAGACGTCATTCAGCCGGAGTCGAAGTTCTACGGCGAGAAAATATAGACGTCGCTCAGCCGGAGTCGAAGCTCTACAACGAGGAAGTATAGACGCCGCTCAGCTGGAGTCGAAGCTCTACGGCAAGAAGATATAGACATCGGCTCAGCCGGAGTCGGGCTCAACGGCGAGAATATATAGACGTCGCTCAGCCGGAGTTGAAGATCTATGGCAAGAAGATATGGACGTCGGCTCAGTCGGAGTCGGGCTCAACGGTGAGAATATATAGACGTCGGTTTAGCTGGAGTCGAGCTCGACGGCGAGGGAATATGGACGTCAACTCAGCCGGAGTCGGGCTCAACGACGAGAATATATGGACGTCAACTCAGCCAGAGTCGGGCTCAACGACGAGAATATATGGACGTCAACTCAGCCGGAGTCAGGCTCAATAGTGAGAATATATGGACGTCGCAAATAGATGACCGGTCGCGGCGTGAATGAGTGAGTCGTGCTAGCTCCCTGCGTAGACAAGTGACTTCGGCTTTGGCGTAGATAAATGAATTCGGCTCCGACATTGATAAATGATCTTGGCCCCGGCATTGATAACTGATCTCGACCCCATTATAGATAAGTGACTCCGGCCCTGACGTAGATAAGTGAGGTCGGAGGCGAGTGAATAATGAGTCGGTCTAGTGGAATTTGGCTTGTCTGCGGACGGATAATAACTCGATCTAGGAGAGTTGGTCACGTCGATGAGCGAATGATCAACCAGCGCAAAGTGAATGAAATGGGACTCGTCGGTGGGAGAATAATAAATTAATCCAGAAATGAGTCTGTCAAATGGCTTAGGACATGGCCGGATGAGAGTGTCAACGCGGTGACTTGGGCGCTCCAGTTGACTTGACGATTTATGAGCTCAGATTCTGCTTCTCTAGCCGCGAGGTCGGGCCCCAGTTGAAAGTCTGGGCTCGATTGTAAAGTTATCCCCATCTTGAGTAGTCAAGCAAGTGTTGAGGTCGATCGGGGAGTGATCGACTCGCAATTTCGCGTTCGGTCGTGATCATGCGGCTCGATAATCTTTGAGGTTGATCTTCCAGCAAGCGATTTAGTGGTCGACCGTTGTGAGGTCAGCCAATGAGTTGGCCCTTCAATTACGAGGTCAATGGTTTGATGCTGGCCGGGTGGATAGAATCAAACGACAGAGTGGTCGGCCTGGTTGCAATTTATGGAACCATCGGCGTACGAGTGGTAGCCGACTTGTTGGCACGAGTGGCCGTTTTTGCAGAATGCCGGTGTTGGAGCCGACTAGTGGCACGATGGCCGATTTTTATTTATTTGTTTTTTTTTTCTTTTTCAAAACGTCGGTTTTTTACACCGACTAATGGCACGAATGGCCTCTTTTTTTTGTATACGTATATATTTATTTTTGATATATATATATATATATATATAGAAGGAAATTGAGAATTTGGTTACCTCGAGCCAGAGCAGAGTGTAGCCTGAGCATTTTATCGTCCAGAGAGGTCGGCTACTCTTTCATTTTTCAGGTCTCTGCCGAGTTCCTCAGCTTCGAGATTTTTATCGCTTGCTCCGGCCTAATTCTATCTATTACAACATTTTTCGGGGCCCACTACACCTTTACATTTTTTGGATAACTTTATGAGCCTACACGTACATTACTAGGCCCAAATTAATTTCTACAAGTAGGCCCAAAGTAATTCCCACTTCCGCAGTAAAATGTATGAAAGGAATGCTGCTATATCCCTACGCAAGTATTCACCCAGACAATTGACAGGGTCGCGGCTGATAAGTGATGGACCGTATTTGCACTTGAGGCCGGATTTCGGGTGTAATGGAGAGATCGAAGATGAGGGTGTCGGATTCCGATGAGGTCGGCCCCGGCTACGTCCAGGAGGTCCGACTTGGGTGGTTGTGAGGCCAGGCCTGGTTGTGACGTGGAGATCCGACGTCGACGAAATCGGCGGCAGCTAGGTCGGGCTTCGGAGAACCCGACTGCGACTTTGGGTGCTGGAGAAGAAGTTGGCAGCGATTAGGTCGCCAATGAGATTTTTCCGACTGTGAGGTTGGGCTCTATGACAGGATCCGCCGATTTTGAGGCCCCAGAGACGGCGAGGTCAAGAATGACGAGGTCGGTTTAGGGATGATAAGCTCGGTCCGACTGCGATTTCCGACATCCGAGTTGTATTGGCCGGTAACCGAGGTCGCGCTTGTCGGTTATGTTGGGATCTTGGTAAATTGGACCTCGGGTTGTAATGAGGTCGGGAACCCGACGGTGAAGTTAGATAGATGAGATCAAGCTCCGATGTGCTGTGAAGTCCGAGGCGCCAAAGTCGGGTGCGTTGATGTCAGTCCCCACCACTGTGAAGGTGTTTGCGAAGGTGAGGTCTACCCGACTTCAAGGTTGGGCTCGGTGTTTGAAGAAGCCGGCCCAGATGTGAAATAGATGTGAAGAGAAGAACAATTTTCCATAGCAAATATCGAGACAAAGTATTTGGGGAAATTTTCTCAATATGTTCTTAGCTCAGAATGAAAAATGTGCTCAGTACAGAGATAAAAACCCTTAGCTCGAGTTCTAGATGACAAGGACAGAAAAGTCCTTTTACAATAAAATGCAAAAGCTAAAATAACAAAAGCTAAAACACGAGTCTATTAATAAAAGCGCTCAAAGACTAAGATATAAAATCAGAAGAAGATACTAGTCTTCATGCAATGCACGCCCACCATAGCCGATGAGATCGATGAGAATGAGCACAACTCAACACCCCCCCCCCCAGTGGGAATGGGCGAAAAGGCTCGCATTCCCAACTTGCGAAGAAAAGCATGAAACTCACGACCCCCAAGAGATTTGGTAAAGAGGTCTGCGGGTTGAGCCGACGAGGTAATGTGATGAGGAGCAATAAAACCAGCTTTAAACATATCCCGCACCACATGACAATCGATATCTAAGTGCTTAGTACGTTCATGGAAAACCGGATTGGCCGTTATGTGCAAAGCCGCTTTGTTGTCACACCACAGAGGGATTGGAAGAGTGAGCTGCAAGGCAAAATCTGTAGCCAAGTAAGAAAGCCACTTAAGTTCACAAACCGTGGTGGCCATAGAACGGTATTCGACCTCAGTTGAGGATCTAGAAACCGTTTTTTGCTTCTTGGTCTTCCAAGATATCAAGGCTGGCCCAAGGAAGATGCAATAACCTGTTAGGGATCTTCTAGTCAATGTACAACTCCCCCAATCAGCATCACAAAAGGCCTCAATCTGCCTAGAAGGTTGAGCTGCATAGAAAAGGCCCAAAGAAGGACAACCCTTAAGATATCTCACCAAATGAATAGCAGCTGACCAATGAGCCTTAGTAGGAGAATGAACAAATTGACTTAATTGCTGAATAGCAAAAGAAATGTCGGGTCTAGAGAGGTTTAGGTACAGAAGTCTCACAATAAGTCTTCTATAAAGTCCCTCATCTTCTAACAGTGGTGTGTTTTGGGAAGATAAGTTGATGCCTTGTGAAAGAGGAGTCACCACAGGCTTGGAATCTAACAATCCCATATCGTTGACAATGTCTTGAATGTATTTCCTTTGGCTGAGGAAGAGACCATGGCCTGTTTTAATTAACTCCAGCCCCAAAAAAATTTTTGCAAGACCAAGATACTTAATTGTGAATAAGCTGTGCAAGTAATTCTTCAAATGTGTGATATCTGTCACATGAGTTCCTGTAATCATAACATCATCTACATAGATCAACAAGGCCAAGAACCTGTCAGTCCCTTGTTTAAGAAAGAGGAAGTGGTCATGCACAGATTGAACAAAACCATAGGCAACCAATTTTTCAGAAAATTCAATGTTCCATTGTCTTGATGCTTGTTTGAGTCCATACAAGCTTCTTTGCAACAAACACACCTGATTCTTTCTAGCCTTTGTGTAACCTTTGGGAGGTAACATATAAACCTCTTCCTCCAAATATCCATGAAGGAAAGCATTATTAATGTCTATGTGATGAATTTCCCACTGCCTTTGAGTTCCTAAGGCAAGTAAAAATCTGACAGACACCATCTTTGCCACAGGTGAGAAGCTTTCAAAAAAATCAATTCCCTCCTTTTGCAAATATCCTTTTGCAACCAACCTTGCTTTGTATTTGTCTATTGTGCCATCTGGGTTTCTTTTAATTTTGTAAACCCACTTGAATCCGATGGCCTTTTTATTTGGTGGTAGGGAGGTTAAAATCCAAGTGTTGTTTAGCTCCAGGGCTTCAAGTTCCTTTGTCATGGCTTCAATCTATTTCTCATGTTGAACAGCCTGTTCATAAAACAATGGTTCATTTTCTGATTTCTCAATTTCAGTCATAAAAGAATGAGCATCCTTGACAAATGTGTCATCAACAATCACCAAGTCTGTCACATAGTCTGACAACCAAGCTGGTGGCTGCTTCTTTCTAGTGATTCTCACAGGTTGAAGAGGAGAAGAATCTACCTTAGAAGGTGCATTTGAATCAGTAAGTTCATCTTCTTCATATTCTGACAATGTGTCATGCACAACTGGTAGTGGAATAGATTGATCCTTTGTACTGTGCGCTTGAAAGGGAAATTCTGTCTCATGAAATATGACATCTCTTGAGATAAAGACTTCATTACTATCAAGATCTAGTACCCTAAAACCCTTGACACCATTGACATAACCCAGATAAACACAAGGTGAAGCTCTTGGGTCAAATTTCCTCCTGTGAGGTATGTTCCTCTTCGCATAACACAAACTGCCAAAAACCTTAAATCTGTCATAACTATGTGCTTCTCCATGCAACATTTCATAAGGAGTTTTCCAATGCAAAACTTCAGTAGGCAAGGACTTTATGATATGTACTGTTGCTAACAAAGTATAGGGCCAAAGATCTCTTCTCAACTTAGCCTGCAAATACAATGACCGGGCCACTTCCAATATGCTTTTGTGCCTTCTTTCCACTACCCTATTTTGTTGGGGAGTGTAAGAACAAGATCTCTGGTGAACAATACCATTGTCCTGTAATAACCTAGCATTTCCTTGTTCACAAACTCTGTGCCATTGTCTGTCCTTATTTGTTTCACAGCCTTCCCAAACTGCACCTTAGTCATGTTCAAGAAAAAACTGATATGATTGTAAGTTTCCCCTTTATGTTTCATCAGAAAAATCCAAGTAGCTCTAGTGAAGTCATCGACTACAGTAAGCATGTAAGAAGTATCTGTAATAGATGGCTCACTATATGGCCCCAAACATCCACATGAATTAAATCAAACTTATCAACAGTTTTAATACAACTCAATGGAAAAGATAGCCTGCACTTTTTTGCTCTATGGAAAGTGTCACAAACACCCAATTCCTGCTCGTTACAGCTCCTTTTCAAAAAATTAATGTGTTTCAAACAAGACAAAGAACTGTGACCAAGTCTCTTGTGCCACTGTTGAAGTTCCTGTCCTCCCTTTGGTCCATTTTCAATTGCACTGAAGTTACACTCCTCCTTGCCCATTACATATAGTCCTCCAACAGCTTTGCCAAAAGTTGCTGTTGTAGCAAATTATTTTTATTTTACCGAGCACCGAATTGAATGATTCGTTTCCCGGATCGATATCTCGAAGAAGGCGGTTTGGAATTTAGAAGTGGTATCGATATCACAAGAAACGAAAATAACTCCTAAACACTCTAATCAAGATGGTAAAGAATGATTATTAACTAAGAATAGTATAAAAGCAACTAAAAAGATAAATGGAAAATGCGAAAGATACTAGGGAATCGGGAATAAACGTTTTGAATCGAAATACAATTATCAGCTAGTTATCATTCGGTTAAAAGCCTCGATTAATTAACTCATTTAGTGGTTTAACCTCAATACGTCTCCGAACATGCTGATAAACATAAATAAGCGAATTAACGAAACAATTAACATATAGACAATACGTCTCCGAACATGTCTATTTTGTATGAGTCTCGATCAATTGACCTTTCCCCTTTCGGTTCAAGAGTCGATTAAAATAGACTATAGGATTGTCATTCGTCTAGTCTATTCAGATAGTGATCGTCACAGTAGAACACATCATATTCAATTTGAAAACAAGTTAAACATTGAAGTGTCACTCTTCAATTCTTAGAAATCAATTGCAAGGTTGAATTGTCACGTTTCAACAATATGTCATTCTAAAGAGAAAATCAAAAATCGAATTAAGAATTAACTCATACAAAGTGAACAATCAACGAGCACGATAATTACATACGAAATCAAATATTCATTCCCAATCCCTAACTAAAGGATTAGCTAAGCATATTAAATTCAACCCAACGAAATATTTCACCTAAATTAACCATTCTCATGAATCACTTCAAAGAGATAACTTACAATTCATCTAAATGTTGAATCCAATTACAAAGCTTCATCCATAAGACCAAAAGAAAAATACAAGAAGAAGAAGGAGGAGGAGAGGGAAAAGAGGGGAAGAACCCCTCTATGGAGTTAATTTTTTTCAATCCAAATCCTTGCACATTTATAGATGTTTTCTGCATGTTTTCATCCATATATTCTTCCACAAAACATGCAAAAATGTTTATGGCTCAAAACATGGAAGAAATGGCTCAAAACATGGAGGAAATGACTCAAAACATGGAGGAAAACCCGAGTGGTGGGTCTAGGTGTGGTGCAGGAACTCCGCGGCCGCGACTTGCTCCACGGCCGCGACATTTTTCAGCTGAAGAAGTGCTCCGCGGCCGCGACTTGCATTTGCTGCTCACGGTGAAGAAAACTGGACTGCTTTGCGCGACTTTACGTTTTGGGCTCGTTTGGGCTCATCCGAACTCGGAATTGAGTTCCGTTTTTTCCTACATGTAGCCAACGAAGCCCTCTACGCATTTGTGTTCTCAAATCCAACTTATTTTTCAAAACTTATTTACCCAAAGCTTTTGAATCCAAGTTGACAGCTTCCGTGCACGAATTCGCATATTGGGCCCCTCCGGACTCGTCCGAACTCGAAATTGGATTCCGCTTTTTCCTATGTGTAGCTAAGAAATCCATCTATCAAACCATGATTTCCCGACCCGTTTTCGAGCTAAATCAATTCCTCACGGGGCTTCCGACCTGCACACTAAAAACAAGAAGAAAAACGACAAAATACACGAAAAACACATAAAAAGCCAAAATAGAACAAAACACACAATAAACTATAAAATGAACTATAACTAACAAATAAACCTAAAACGGGGGAAAATGAACGACAAAATAGTACAGAAAAACGTAACAAAAATGATCACAACAACTCCCCCACACTTAAACCTTTGTTCGTCCTGAACAAAGACAAAAGAAAACAAAACACGAACATGGGTACTGTTTCAAATAAGTCATGCCTCAAAATGTTTAACTCAATCGGGTCGAATTCCAACGACCGTACTATCATTATATATGCCTCACCCATTTTCTTATATGAATATGTGATGGGTTCGCTCAAAATTGGTCGATATTCATGTTTCAACATATGCTTGCCAATCGTCTAAATTACTCGGAATCAATCAAAGCTCAAAATTTTTAAATCAAGACGACTTCTCGGGTTGTAATGTGGGATGTAGGTAAAGGTAAGAATATATATATATATATATATATATATATATATATATATATATATATATATATATATATATATATATATATATATATATATATATATATATATATATATATATATATATATATATATATATATATATATATATATATATATATATATATATATATATATATATATATATATATATATATATATATATATATATATATATATATATATATATATATATATATATATATATATATATATATATATATATATATATATATATATATATATATATATATATATATATATATATATATATATATATATATATATATATATATATATATATATATATATATATATATATATATATATATATATGGACAAGAAGCTCAAGTAAACAATCAAAGTTCTCGAGTAGTTAAATATTCGAATGTCCGCCACTCGACCAAAGTCAACAAGATAGCATACATACCGTCTACCAATGTCTCCACAAACAACACATAAATATTCCAATCGAATTGCAATATTGCTTGACTTATTACACATTTTTTTAGAGTTACTATTTTCGTACAAGCTCGAATCGTAAGGACAATATTCCTTAGGTTTAAACATTGGAGGTCATCCAAGTGTCCTAAAGTGGTTTCCCAATACTCATTACTCGTTAAAATGAATAACAAGTAAGCGGAGTAGAATCCAATCGATTCGTCATGCGAGCTCTCATGTATTTTTTTTTTATTTTTTTTTCTTTTATTGTCAATCATAAAATGCAACTCGATTTTTACCTCATTCATCAATGACTCCGTCCTTACCAATCATCACGCATATCAATCGACAAAATTCATTATATGTACGGCTGACAAGAAAAAGCTAAAGGCTCAAACGGGTTACTAGGGAATATAATCTTTCGGACCAAAGAACAAGGCAAAACGAGCTAACAAACAAAACGCCTCAATTATTTTCGAAGTTTCAAACTTTAACCGATTCTTTTCAAATAAACTCAAGGCAAGTTCTAATCATTCGAGAATACGACTAATATCTCTCAAGAAAGAAGAATAAGGATCAAGACCTCACAAGGTAAATAAATGTCATTTAAAGCAATCAAGTAAATATCGAGGCAATAGTAAATACGTCTGTCATCACAACTTCCCAATTTCATCAAACAATCATCAACATATCATATAATTCACCAATACCACATGCTCGACAACATGACAACCTAGATACTAGACCGGTCCAGCACATAAGCATGCAAAATCCACATAGACTCCCCCACACATAAAATGAAGCAATGTCCTCATTGCTTCCACACATAACCAGGAAGTTCAAATATTAAAACTTAGCACTTTCACATGATGAACCAATTTAGTAACTAGCACACAAGAACAAAGACTCAAAAGAAAAGATACGAAACAATCTCACAAAGATGAAAAGAGAAGGGGTGTGCAAACCGAAGTAGCCTCGAGGGAAATAAGCATTCACGTGCAAACCGTCTGCCCACGATCAAATGGTCTTCTATACGTCCTGCCAGAAAAACCACAAAGAACTCCAAACTCCCATTATTCAAAAATAAAAATAAACTAAAAAGCATAAACAAAACACACAAGAAAGCAGTAAATCACTTGGGTTGCCTCCTAAGAAGCGCTTTTTTAACGTCATTAGCTTGACGAAACCTATACAAATTAACCAGGATCCAAAAAGAAGTTTCGATCATGCCACGCCTTTGTATTCTCCAACAATAGTCCCGTTGGTAGTACGGAACAAAGGTGGGCAAAGTAGACTCTCGTGGCCGTGTTCTTGTGATTTCGAGCATGGATATCAACACCTATCAAGAAAAAATGTAATTTTTTACGTACCATGGCCCTATGGTCGACCTCCGGAATTATGAACATGTCTGTGGAGTATATCGAATCCATCTCGGTCATCACCAACGCCATCTCGGACGTGTGCTCAATAATTTTAGTAGTCGGAAGCACTAAACTCGGACGTGTGTTCATGGATGCACTAAACTCCTCCAAATGTTCACCATCCTCGATAACATACAATGACGACCCAAATGACATGGGAACAACTGCGTACTCAACATCATGAGTCGAGTCATTCATCAATACACATTCCGGGTCAATGACATCATATAATGACTCGACGTCCTCCTCGACCTCATCCACAACATCATGAACTATCTTCTCCTCACAATCATCATCTCGAGCCCCTTCAGCTTCACTCGGCACAATCGGATCCTCCAATGAATTATTCCCCCACACCATGCACCGTATCGTTTTCCGAATCCACACACTCGCTCTCATCGATAGCAATCGCACAATCACCGCAATGTAGGTTTGATGTGGTTTGCGATCCCGGGTCGTCATGAGAGGAGATTCTTCTAACATACAAATCACCGACGTCCTCTCTCGTGTCGAGAGATTGTGTTCCATCATAAACCAGAGTGAGGCCCGCCTCTTTCAGAGAAGCAAATTGTTCCACCATAGCTCGAAATTCACCCTCTAACCGTGCACTTTCTCGACATACTTTCGCCGATA